TATTAGATCGCTGTGAGGTCTCCCTCTCTAGTTTGTGAATGGCTCCAGGGTTCTGTAATGTGTTCACTTTTTTTTTTTTTTTTGGAGGGGGGAGTTTTTTTCTTCCGTTGACTCTGCTGTCAGTCTTTTTTTTCTGAGAATGGGTTTCTAATCCATGGTTTTAGAGAGAGTGATCTGGAGTAGTTTCCAGGATCCAAGCAATGGTGTGTTTTGAGGAGGTTTTGAGGAAGCAGAAAGCAGAAAAGCCTTTGAAGTCATTTGAGTATTTCAACTAGCCCTGAGCGTATGCATATATTTTGGGGAGACTTTGGAGGTCGGCAAATGACAAACGAAGGCAGAGTAGTTGCTAGCAGATCCTTGTTTCTGGTTTATTAGCATCTGTTGTTTGAGGCTTACCTGCTCTCTGGCCCTTTGTGTGATCACGTTGGCTAGAAAGGGTTCCCTGGCCTTTCACACTTTCCTAGTTAATGTGCGTACATGTATATTCTGCTTTGGAGTCATCATTTTTCCATAGCCAAAATCTCCCTGCTGTGACCTTTCCCTTATACACCTGAGCACTCTCCCTTTTCAGATGTTACTCCGTTATCTTTTTTGATTGCTTTTTCCTGCCTGCTTGAGATTTAATTTATTTATTTATTTCCCTTAATTTTCAGTTTTGCATCATTAGAGGTCAACCTGCTTGGAGTTGTTTTCCACCTTAGGCAGAATGATTAGCATGATCTTTCTGAGATGGAACATGCCCCTAAGGTCGACAGTGTTCTGTGGGATCTTCCAGATATGTAACAAATGCACAGGGTTCCACAGTAAGTAATACCCAATGCCACTACCGTAGTCCTCAGCTGTACTAATTTGGCCTAGAGCACATGTAAAAATCCATGGGCCGTGACTTACATAGCTATGCTATACTACTGTGTGTCTGCCTGCTTTTAAAGCAAACTAATACCGATTAAATCCTGTTGAGCATATTTCCATTTTTAGGGTTGTAATAGGCCTCTGCTTTGGCTACGCAAATGTATTTCCATTTTGTATGTCAGAGGATACGTTGCCAGTTTTATGTTGGCTTTATGGTTTTGTTCTGGCATCAACGGAAACAGATATTCATGATGTGGCAGAAGGCCAGCCACTACAAAATTAACCTGTTAAAGTGCTTTGATCCCGTTTTGGAATTGACAGATGCTTTGTGTAATAAAACAATTTAGTAACCCCAAAGCTGCACTTCCTGTAACACTGAAACACAAGCTGGTAGATGTCAGTAACCTTGCCATTTTTGTTGCTCAGTAAGAGCAAAAGTTCGTAAGATTGAGCTGTATAGGGAACCTCCATGTATGGTGGGAAAAAATTGGTTAAAAACAGTTTTGGAGGCAATGATCCATGTGTGAGTTTCTTGTAAGAATAGTTATGTCTTGAAATAGGCTATGAAAATGTAAGGTATGAATAGTAAACAATATTTAGCAGTCTTTTTGATACAGAAGTGATTTATCATAGGCAGTTTGATCAATCTGAAGTTACGCAAGTGAAACCTGTTAGTTAATAATTCTGTAACGGTTGCCTATGTGTTTCTCTCTAGAATGACATTCTGTCCGACAGGACATACTGTGTGAGATGGTGGTAGGCAGCTTTGGAGTTTTTGTTCTACTCTTATTTAGATCTCACTGCTCCATAGATGAGCAGCCTTCAACTGCTAACTTCATGGGTGATGAATGAGTTAAAGTCCAATTGTAAGGGGAGATATTTTTGCTGAGCTCATAATCTGTCTACTTCAAAATTACTTCCATTTGTGATCCTCTTTAGGCGAGTATTCTTGTCACTAGTCCCAAATAAGGTCTCGCTAAGGAATGTAAGAAAGAAATTTTGATGTGTCTTCTGAAATTCTCTTCCACTTCTAACAAGCATGTTGCATTCATAAGCAACAAAGGAGTAATACCGTGCTCCTCTGGTATTGGGACAGTTTATTTTCCTTTTTATGCAATGGGTTGCTTTCCCATTTTGTGATCAAACAATTTACCCTGCTGTGTTTGTGCTCAGCTTCTCTGAAGACCTTCATATGCAAGTATCAACGGGCTCTGTATTCTATTTAAGCCACCATCACTGCTTTCCTGTGAATTTCCCGTAGAAAGTACTGCTTTTATTAAAGCTGCCTTTTACTGCCCCTTCCTTGATATGTGATGCTCTAACCTTTTCTCCAGGCTTTCTCAGGAATATTTGAAATTTTCCCTTTCTATTAAAAATGTGCATTTGTTAAATCTGAAACCTTTTAGGAAAGAATGCCATAGCTGAATTTAACTTCAAAAAGAATGGAAGAATTCAAAATGATGCGTGTGTATATTACACTGAAATATTTAATATTTTTAAGTGCTCTAATGAAAATGACACTGATACCATCAGTATGTCTGCTGCCTGAAATGATAATTTTGTGGTTTTCTAGTTCAGATAAATGATACACACTCAGACTTTCTTTCCAGCTTTCTTTGGATTAGATTACCCCCTTCCCCACCCAAAAGGCAAAAATAAAAATCTGCCTTGTGTAGTTCTACAAGTTAGAAAAAAGCCCCCCTCTTTTGCTTATATTCTCAAGCTTGCATTTTTGTGTCTCACAGTCATACTTCCTTTCTATATGCTGGCTGTGTTTCTTTTCCAATTTTTATTGCAGGCATTTATTTAGGATCTGTTAAAACTGTGACTATAGGTACTCTTACCTACTCTTTTTTTTCTCCTTTTTTTTTGTTGTTGTTGTTTCGGTTTAACGTGAAAAAAATATAATGATAATAATAATAATACATTTTGAAGAAATGCTAAAGGACAGAGGGAACTCCGAGGTCAAAAAGCAAGGGGGAGGAGGTGGTCTGCTGTGGAGCAGATGTTCCTCGCAGCCGATAGAGGACTCCTGCTGGAGCAGGTGAATCTACCTGAAGAAACTGTTGCCTGTGGAGAGGCTCATCCTGGAGCACTTCTCTTTTCAAGACCCATAGACCGTGGAGACGTCACACTGGAGCAGAGGACAAGTGTGAGAAGGCAGGAGTAGGAGTGAGAAAAAGCTGTGTACAGCCTATGTCTTAAAGTCCCACAAGTTTTTTAAAGAAATGCATTAGGAGAAAAAGGAAACAATTGGTTTGCTCTGTTTCTGCCCTTGGTAGTTTAATTTAACACTTCCTGGCTCTGTGTTTGGACAGACAACAAGTAATTGCTTCCTATTTGTCTTTTCAATTCCATGAGTGATTTATATATCTTTAGCGTATTAATTTTCAGCATCTGTTTTCTCGGCTGAGAAGTCTTGCTTTTTTTAATCATCCCTTCTGTAGAATTTGCTTTGTACCTTAGTCACTGTTGCTTTTTCTTTACCTTTTCAGTTCTGCCATCTCCTTTTTGAGTTGGGGATGTGGAATTGTTATAAATGGCTCAGTCTTCAAAACAGGACTATAATCAAAGTTTACAATTTATTAAAGGAATAGAGGTAAGCAAAGAGCGCTGGGTGTGCTGGGAGTCTCTGCTCCACCAAGACGCACACCAGTTACATCAAGCAGCTGATTTTTATGCTCCTAGGCTGATACATATTCATTACTACTTCTAAAACAACCAGGGTTATTATAATTAGTTTCCGGAATCCAAACCCTCCTACTGGAGCATGCGTATCAGTCTCCGGTGGTCCCTCTGGGGGTCTCTCCTGCTGAAGGCTCATAGTCTTCCTCCCTCTTGTCCTTCTCCTTTGTCCACCTTGGCTGTATGTCGGAGACTTGTGCAGCGTCCCCTGCAAGCTTTGTCTTTCAGTCGTTCTTCAGCTCTCCCCGTCTACTTAAGCTCCTGGCCAGACAGCAGAGACTTGCAGTAGTGTCCCATGCAATAGTCATAATAGTTAGCAGTTATTCTGAACCCCCCAGATATCAGAGACTTCAAGGAAAAGCCTACAACTACGTTTCCCTTCAAGCTCTCTATTGACAGGAATTGCTAAAACATTCCTTTGCAAGATACAAGAGCTATATACGTTAACCACTCTGTTTTTCTTCGACTTGTGGTTATACAAGGGTCTGTAGGACAGAAGGTCACATTCATCCTACTGTGCGGCCCTAACATTGTTCCATATTGACAAGAATCATATGAACACGTTGTACACTACCGTCACTGTTGAAGACAGAGAAAAACATCTGAGCTCTCCCATAGGATTGTCTGAGGGCTCCTCAGAGAAGGTAGCGTTCCCGATCCCCTGGCCAGCATCTTCTTCTTGCATCCCCCCAGGGGTAACTGTACCTACTGCTTACCTAAAGTGCCTGTAAAGCAATGCACGGAGCATGGGAAACGAACAGGATGAGCTCGAGATCTGTGTTCGGTTGCAGGGCCACGATCTCATTGCGATCACAGAGATGTGGTGGGACAGCTCGCATGACCGGAACGCAGTCATGGAGGGCTCTGTCCTCTTTAGGAGAGACAGGATGTCGAATCGAGGGGGTGGGGTTGTGTTGTCGACGGAAGGAAGACACAGGCGCTCAATATGAGTGATCAGTGAACTTCGATTTATTGGATAGCTCAGCCATTTTTTATATGATTCAATATAATTAGCTCATACACATTGCAAAAGCTAAGCTCACTATTGGTTAGTGCAACTTTCCCTATCTTATCAGCTAGCTCCTCATTCCCTCAACCGTTATCCTGTCTTAAGTACGTTCCCATCCACACGCTGACACAATGCCTTTGTCCCTTGACTGGCTTCCCGCCATCTCCCAGACTCATATGAGCTGCGTTCGATACTTTTTTAGCTCGCGACCTCCAAGTTGCTCAACATTCACATGACCTACTTCACTTAACCATTCCTCCACAGGGTTGCCCTTTATGTGAGGGAGCAATTAGAAGGTACCCAGTTCCAGCTGGGGGAGGGTGATTGACAGGCGGAGAGCTTGCGAGTAACAATTAAGGGGTGGGCTGGTAGGGGAGACACTGTGGTGGGGGTCTACTACAGGTCTCCAGCTGACAGATGTGATCACTGAACCTCTCTCTTTCATCTTTGAAAGGTCCTGGAGAACGGGTGAGGTGCCTGAAGACTGGAGGAAAGCCAGCGTCATGCTGGTCTTCAAAAAAGGTAGGAAGGAGGATCTGGGAAGTGACAGGTAAGTGTTCGGAGCGGGGCTGCGCCCCCCACTCGTCCGACGGGGCTGCGCCCCCACTCGTCCGACGGGGCTGCGCCCCCCACTCGTCCGACGGGGCTGCGCCCCCCACTCGTCCGACGGGGCTGCGCCCCCCACTCGTCCGACGGGGCTGCGCCCCCCACTCGTCCGACGGGGCTGCGCCCCCCACTCGTCCGACGGGGCTGCGCCCCCCACTCGTCCGACGGGGCTGCGCCCCCCACTCGTCCGACGGGGCTGCGCCCCCCACTCGTCCGACGGGGCTGCGCCCCCCACTCGTCCGACGGGGCTGCGCCCCCCACTCGTCCGACGGGGCTGCGCCCCCCACTCGTCCGACGGGGCTGCGCCCCCCACTCGTCCGACGGGGCTGCGCCCCCCACTCGTCCGACGGGGCTGCGCCCCCCACTCGTCCGACGGGGCTGCGCCCCCCACTCGTCCGACGGGGCTGCGCCCCCCACTCGTCCGACGGGGCTGCGCCCCCCACTCGTCCGACGGGGCTGCGCCCCCCACTCGTCCGACGGGGCTGCGCCCCCCACTCGTCCGACGGGGCTGCGCCCCCCACTCGTCCGACGGGGCTGCGCCCCCCACTCGTCCGACGGGGCTGCGCCCCCCACTCGTCCGACGGGGCTGCGCCCCCCACTCGTCCGACGGGGCTGCGCCCCCCACTCGTCCGACGGGGCTGCGCCCCCCACTCGTCCGACGGGGCTGCGCCCCCCACTCGTCCGACGGGGCTGCGCCCCCCACTCGTCCGACGGGGCTGCGCCCCCCACTCGTCCGACGGGGCTGCGCCCCCCACTCGTCCGACGGGGCTGCGCCCCCCACTCGTCCGACGGGGCTGCGCCCCCCACTCGTCCGACGGGGCTGCGCCCCCCACTCGTCCGACGGGGCTGCGCCCCCCACTCGTCCGACGGGGCTGCGCCCCCCACTCGTCCGACGGGGCTGCGCCCCCCACTCGTCCGACGGGGCTGCGCCCCCCACTCGTCCGACGGGGCTGCGCCCCCCACTCGTCCGACGGGGCTGCGCCCCCCACTCGTCCGACGGGCTGCGCCCCCCACTCGTCCGACGGGGCTGCGCCCCCCACTCGTCCGACGGGGCTGCGCCCCCACTCGTCCGACGGGGCTGCGCCCCCCACTCGTCCGACGGGCTGCGCCCCCCACTCGTCCGACGGGGCTGCGCCCCCCACTCGTCCGACGGGGCTGCGCCCCCCACTCGTCCGACGGGGCTGCGCCCCCCACTCGTCCGACGGGGCTGCGCCCCCCACTCGTCCGACGGGGCTGCGCCCCCCACTCGTCCGACGGGGCTGCGCCCCCACTCGTCGACGGGGCTGCGCCCCCACTCGTCCGACGGGGCTGCGCCCCCCACTCGTCCGACGGGGCTGCGCCCCCCACTCGTCCGACGGGGCTGCGCCCCCCACTCGTCCGACGGGGCTGCGCCCCCCCACTCGTCCGACGGGGCTGCGCCCCCCACTCGTCCGACGGGGCTGCGCCCCCCACTCGTCCGACGGGGCTGCGCCCCCCACTCGTCCGACGGGGCTGCGCCCCCCACTCGTCCGACGGGGCTGCGCCCCCCACTCGTCCGACGGGGCTGCGCCCCCACTCGTCCGACGGGGCTGCGCCCCCCACTCGTCCGACGGGGCTGCGCCCCCCACTCGTCCGACGGGGCTGCGCCCCCCACTCGTCCGACGGGGCTGCGCCCCCCACTCGTCCGACGGGGCTGCGCCCCCCACTCGTCCGACGGGGCTGCGCCCCCCACTCGTCCGACGGGGCTGCGCCCCCCACTCGTCCGACGGGGCTGCGCCCCCCACTCGTCCGACGGGGCTGCGCCCCCCACTCGTCCGACGGGGCTGCGCCCCCACTCGTCCGACGGGGCTGCGCCCCCCACTCGTCCGACGGGGCTGCGCCCCCCACTCGTCCGACGGGCTGCGCCCCCACTCGTCCGACGGGGCTGCGCCCCCCACTCGTCCGACGGGGCTGCGCCCCCCACTCGTCCGACGGGGCTGCGCCCCCCACTCGTCCGACGGGGCTGCGCCCCCCACTCGTCCGACGGGGCTGCGCCCCCCACTCGTCCGACGGGGCTGCGCCCCCCACTCGTCCGACGGGCTGCGCCCCCACTCGTCCGACGGGGCTGCGCCCCCCACTCGTCCGACGGGGCTGCGCCCCCCACTCGTCCGACGGGGCTGCGCCCCCCACTCGTCCGACGGGGCTGCGCCCCCACTCGTCCGACGGGGCTGCGCCCCCCACTCGTCCGACGGGGCTGCGCCCCCCACTCGTCCGACGGGGCTGCGCCCCCCACTCGTCCGACGGGGCTGCGCCCCCCACTCGTCCGACGGGCTGCGCCCCCCACTCGTCCGACGGGGCTGCGCCCCCCACTCGTCCGACGGGGCTGCGCCCCCCACTCGTCCGACGGGGCTGCGCCCCCCACTCGTCCGACGGGGCTGCGCCCCCCACTCGTCCGACGGGGCTGCGCCCCCCACTCGTCCGACGGGGCCCACTCGTCGACGGGCCCCCCACTCGTCCGACGGGGCTGCGCCCCCCACTCGTCCGACGGGGCTGCGCCCCCCACTCGTCCGACGGGGCTGCGCCCCCCACTCGTCCGACGGGGCTGCGCCCCCCACTCGTCCGACGGGGCTGCGCCCCCCACTCGTCGACGGGGCTGCGCCCCCACTCGTCCGACGGGGCTGCGCCCCCCACTCGTCCGACGGGGCTGCGCCCCCCACTCGTCCGACGGGGCTGCGCCCCCCACTCGTCCGACGGGGCTGCGCCCCCCACTCGTCCGACGGGGCTGCGCCCCCCACTCGTCCGACGGGGCTGCGCCCCCCACTCGTCCGACGGGGCTGCGCCCCCCACTCGTCCGACGGGGCTGCGCCCCCCACTCGTCCGACGGGGCTGCGCCCCCCACTCGTCCGACGGGGCTGCGCCCCCACTCGTCCGACGGGGCTGCGCCCCCCACTCGTCCGACGGGGCTGCGCCCCCACTCGTCCGACGGGGCTGCGCCCCCCACTCGTCCGACGGGGCTGCGCCCCCCACTCGTCCGACGGGGCTGCGCCCCCCACTCGTCCGACGGGGCTGCGCCCCCCACTCGTCCGACGGGGCTGCGCCCCCCACTCGTCCGACGGGGCTGCGCCCCCCACTCGTCCGACGGGGCTGCGCCCCCCACTCGTCCGACGGGGCTGCGCCCCCCACTCGTCCGACGGGGCTGCGCCCCCCACTCGTCCGACGGGGCTGCGCCCCCCACTCGTCCGACGGGGCTGCGCCCCCCACTCGTCCGACGGGGCTGCGCCCCCCACTCGTCCGACGGGGCTGCGCCCCCCACTCGTCCGACGGGGCTGCGCCCCCCACTCGTCCGACGGGGCTGCGCCCCCCACTCGTCCGACGGGGCTGCGCCCCCCACTCGTCCGACGGGGCTGCGCCCCCCCACTCGTCCGACGGGGCTGCGCCCCCCACTCGTCCGACGGGGCTGCGCCCCCCACTCGTCCGACGGGGCTGCGCCCCCCACTCGTCCGACGGGGCTGCGCCCCCCACTCGTCCGACGGGGCTGCGCCCCCCACTCGTCCGACGGGGCTGCGCCCCCCACTCGTCCGACGGGGCTGCGCCCCCCACTCGTCCGACGGGGCTGCGCCCCCACTCGTCCGACGGGGCTGCGCCCCCCACTCGTCCGACGGGGCTGCGCCCCCCACTCGTCCGACGGGGCTGCGCCCCCCACTCGTCCGACGGGGCTGCGCCCCCCACTCGTCCGACGGGGCTGCGCCCCCCACTCGTCCGACGGGGCTGCGCCCCCCACTCGTCCGACGGGCTGCGCCCCCCACTCGTCCGACGGGCGCCCCCACTCGTCCGACGGGGCTGCGCCCCCCACTCGTCCGACGCCTCACAAGGTAAAGCAAGTGCTCAAGCTCCCAAACACAAAGCCACTGTAGGACCCATGAATGCTTACCTGCTCGTTTCCAAATTTGAGTCGTTGCTGAACGACTTCATGGGGCAGTAGCATCATCAGGCTTTTCCTGTTCTGAGTAGTCACCCCCGATGTTACCTGTTCATAGAGTCTCCAAAGCTATATCGTAGAAGTCATCAAAACACTTGCTATAATGCTTTTTGTCTCTTTTTTCAAAACTCCTGCCGACGCCGCGGACCCTGCCGACGCCGCGGACCCTGCCCGACGCCGCCGACCCTGCCCGACGCCGCCGACCCTGCCCGACGCCTCACAAGGTAAAGCAAGTGCTCAAGCTCCCAAACACAAAGCCACTGTAGGACCCATGAATGCTTACCTGCTCGTTTCCAAATTTGAGTCGCTGCCGAACGTCTTCATGGGGCAGTAGCATCATCAGGGTTTTCCTTTTCTGAGTAGTCACCCCGATGTTACCTGTTCATAGAGTCTCCAAAGCTATATCGTAGAAATGGTAGAAAACATGAAGAAAAAGCAGCCTACTCTGAAATACTGAGTCTGTTTCAGCAGAACCCTAGAAAAGCAACTTAGGTAGTCTAAACCTCAAACTCTCCTGGAGTGGCAGTTCTTCCCATCATTCCTCATGCTTATTATATAGCAAAGGTCAAATGATCTCCAGCTGGCAGATTTCACTTCACATGTGTGGAGTCATGAGACCTTGTGGAATAGGCTCATCAACCTGGCTTCTGTGTTTTAGGTTCAATTGCTCCTTATCGCTAATAGAAATAAGCTGACAAGCTGCTTAGTGGTTAGAGTTGACCTAATTAATTAATTACGAAGGCATATAAGGGTCGTATTTCTGCTAGTCATTCTGTGAGGAAAATTAGTACAGAGTCTGTTAAAATAAGATAAATCAATGTAAATAAAAGAAATAAAGAAAAAGAAATGACCTTAAAGGCAAAATTGCTGTCATAGATTTTCATCTGTCTAGTCACGACAGATAAAGAATACAGCAATCAGAAAGACTTTACTTGACATTAATGTTGTTTAAATTTGCTTTTCTGAGATCTCTTCTTTATGCCAGACTTTTCAAAATCTAGCGCCATGACCTCCGACTGCAGTATTTACTTAGGCTGCATATAAACTATCACGTATAAATGCCAGGATCTGGATCCTCACTCCCTGTTCAGGTCAAGGACCAGGCTGAAAGTTTAGGCTTTAATTTGGTTACAGGACTACATTGCTGTCGTCGTGGTTTCCCCCGGCCGGCAGCTAAGCACCACACAGCCGTTCACTCGCCCTCCCTCCTCCTTCTCTGGGATTGTTCAGCCTGGAAAAGAGAAGGCTCAGGGGCAACCTTATCGCTCTCTACAGGTACCTTAAAGGAGGCTGTAGCGAGGTGATGGTTGGTCTGTTTTCCCGTGTACCTGGTGACAGTACGAGGAGAAATGGCCTGAAGTTGTGCCAGGGGAGGTTTAGGTTGGATATTAGGAAGAACTTCTTTACCGAAAGGTCTGTTAGGCATTGGAGTGGGCTGCCCAGGGAAGTGGTTGAGCCTCCATCCCTGGGTGTCTTTAAAAGACATTCAGATGTAGAGCTCAGTGATATGGTTTAGTTGGAGACTGGTTAGTGTTAGGTCAGAGGTTGGACTCGGTGATCTTGGAGGTCTCTTCCAACCTAGATAATTCTGTTTTTCTGTTGCAGTCTCCCAGCTCAGAGCCAACCAGCTATTAGTCTGGCGCAACGGATTTGTGCATTCCTTGCACTAGCTGTTCCTTCACCTCCTCTTCACGTACAAGGACACGCGTCTCTTTCACGCTCCTTCAGGAGTAAACAAGCCAGGAGAGATTAAAGCCTCTTTCTCCAGGTCAGTAAGATCCCTGCCTTTGGTTTCGTTGAGAATTCAGGCCCTAACAACTCAAGTGTCTTCTGGACGGTGTTTCTTCTGGGTAGGATAATTTCATTTCCCTTTTGAAGACTTACAGGGATGTAGTAACAAAAGCAAAGGCATAAAACGGTACCTGAGGCACAGGCTACTTTTCAGCCTGCAGCAGACTATAGGTATGATATCAAAGGATGATATCATACCTATATCATCTATCATGATATCATATCAGGAAACGTAGAAGACTGCCTGTTGCTTCTCAGGTTTAAAGTTTTCCCTTAAAAGGTGTATGCAGAGGTGTAATCAGCTGTTTGAGTACAATTCTCACATATACGTGAACATTTTCCTCTCCCCTTCCCAACTTGGAGTGCAACAGTTTTCACCATACTGTTATAAATTCTGAGTCAACTTAGCTTTATGAGGTTTATTTGTGGGGTTAATAAAAGGCACGTAAAGAGTGCTGGGTGCACGGGAGTCTTCATGCTGAAGGCTCATAGTCTTCCTCCCTCTTGTCCTTTTCCTTTGTCCAACTTGGCTGTATGTCAGAGACTTGTGCAGCGTCCCCTGCAAGCTTTGTCTTTCAGTCGTTCTTCAGCTTTCCCCGTCTACTTAAGCTCCTGGCCAGATATCAGAGACTTGCGTAGTGTCCTATGCAATAGTCATAATAGTTAGCAGTTATTCTGAACCCTCCAGATATCAGAGACTTCAAGGAAAAGCCTACAACTACGTTTCCCTTCAAGCTCTCTATTGACACGACTTGCTAAAACATTCCTTTGCAACATACAAGAACTATATACAGTAACCACTCTGTTTTTCTTCGACTTGTGGTTATACAAGGGTCTGTAGGACAGAAGGTCACATTCATCATACCGTGCAGCCCTAGCATTATTCCATATTGACACGAATCATATGAACACATTTCACAGAATAAGGATGTGAACTGAGAAGAGTTGTGTTGTTATGCCCTGAATTATACGTGATATATTTATGTTATTCTTTCTTTTGTTGTCTGTTTCTTTCCTAATTATTTTGATTACTCAATCAACCATCATTTTTGCTGATTAGCATAGTGAAGTCATCAAAACACTTGCTACAATGCTTTTTGTCTCTTTTTTCAAAACTAATTAGTGTATTTTGAGCTTCAAGCTGAAACACAGGTAGATTCATATGGTAAATTAATGACTTCCTTCCACTGTAAAAATTGCATTGATATTATTTGTTGCCTTATTTATTTATTTATTTATTTTATTTGCAGAAAGATGCTTCTAGTTTCCTTAGTCTCCTTGGAGAGACAGGTATCTGGATATTTAACTTGGAAGAAAGGTGGGCAGACTTTTACAAATAACAGTCCTCTAAATAGCTGAAAGTAGGTTTTGAAGTATTGAATATTTGGTTTGATATTAATGGTATTCAGTTTCACTTTATGCATTTAAATCTAATCCAGTTAGTATAATTGTCTTAGGTCTTGCATCTTGCATTCTGGTTTAATTCAGCTTTTTTTTTTTTTTTTCCAGTCATTTAGAAATAGGCAAGACAAAGGTTTAGTAGTAAATACGCTCTTTTGAAAAAAGTTTAAAAGTTCATGTGGGTGGTGGCTTTTTGGGATTGTTATTTTGGCACGCATTGAGGGGGAAGTGGTGTTTGAAGAAGCTGTGAGCCTTTGAACACAGTGTACTATGTCAGTAAGGGTGTGACCTGAGCCACACATTGCACGTGCCCCTGGGAATTGGAGATTTTCCATTTGTAGTAGCAGCCCTGTGCTAGACTGCGTTGTACTGACTGCGAACCAGGGCAAGGCAGGCTGTTGAGTACTGACTGCAGAGTTAGTACAAGTCGTGGCCAGAGGAGATGAGATGATGGGGATGTTGTTCTCAGCTGGGTTTGTGTGATTAAATTCAAGGAAAAACGTGAATGGTGTTTCTCACAATACATTCAAGTTAATTTTGGAAGGGCTGGTGCTTGGTGTTCCTGTGGTTTGGGGAAGAAATGAAGCCCAAAAGTTTGTGCCAAGAGTTTGGTTAGTGTGTGTCAAGCTCAGTGTTGTGTTAGGTTATGTGCCCTCTCCTTGGCTGTCTAGGTAGGTGAGATGCAGGCCACACTTCTGAATTCTTTGAGATGCTTTTCCAGTAACGATGTGGAGACTGACCAGTAACTGCGTTTATTATTTCATGTTGTCAGTGAATGATTCAAGCCACAGCTTGAATAAAGAAATTGCTCAGAATTGGTAATTTCTCCATCACCGCCACCCCGTTCTTTATAACAGAAGGCCAGGACAAGGGTTTATAAAACATTTTTGACCAGGACAGTGTTTAAGAATATAAATTCTGCATTGTCATTAATTGGGTTTCAGCTGTGCCACCAATTCATCACCACTAATTTCTGTCATTGAGCAGGTTAACCCTTTGTCTGTTCTGGCAACTTTGAAGTGGCTTATCTTAAGATAGTTTCAGCTGCTTTGTGAGCAGCAGAGCTTTTATTTCCATAACCTATTACGATATTGCTCCATAAACTGCTTTACAGTTTCAATTTATTCCTTTGGTTATTAGAATTTTAGTTGTTTTTTGGAGTAGCTTGCATATACTAGGTGCTGAAGGATGGCAATTTCGTATTTGGCATGTATACTTTTAGTACCATAACTAGATCTAGTGGGTGGCATTCCTGCCTATGGCAGAGGTGTTGGAGTTAGAGGATCTGTAAGGTTCCTTCCAACCCAAGCCATTCTGTGATTCTGTGATTAATTAATGCAAGTGAACGATCAGAATGTAATATTGTTTATGATTTTTCATTCTCTCAAGACCGACAATTTTATTTTATTGCTCTATGGCTAGAAGGTTTCACTGAAGTTCACAGAAGACTTAAAGAGGCTTTGTCTATCCAAAATTAAGTGCTGGCACAGCTGTCAATTGTTTTTCCTTGTTGTAAGCAGTTGAAACATGTTACTAGCTTTTGTGCATATGAAAGTGTACACATGTACAGAATACTCTCTAAGTGGGAGTTTGTAGTTGCTTCAAGTCCTGTCTACATGAGAGAAGAACAACAACACGAATGCTGCTCATCCTCACCATCTTTTCTCCTTCTCTGTAGAAAGAAATACCCTTAAATGAAAGTCCTTTTCTTTTTTTTTTTTTTCTTTTTTTTTTTAATGTATTGGTTAAAGTCCTAGACAGTATGAAGTCAGACAAAAATGCAAGCTATTTGTATGCATTCTGCTTGCTTTCAGCACTCACTGCCATTTAGCCTGCAGGCGAAAGTCTATTGACAGTTTTGCACCTGTGTTTTTCCTTGAAAAATATACTGGGCAAGATTGGGAGGGAGTCATCGTGTTTCTTTTGGAATTTGGGAACTCTCAGCCACTTCAAATATTCAGGAAGTTTCTGTGTGAAAAGGCTTATGATGTGGAAATACTTACATTATGTGAGGAAATCATTACTGTATTCCCCCAAATAAAATAATTCCAACACAAAGCTTGAAACCAGAAATGGAGATATAGGGATGTTGTGTTAAATGAGGACACCCTCTGTCCTGCCATCTCTTGAAGGAAGTGACTTTAAATGGTGTAAATTTTACCCTGGATCTGGGCCTGACTTCAGGCTTGTTTTCTGTTGCTGAAGGGCTTATTTATTTTAAGGACAGTTGGGTTAGGAAAATTGTTGGACTGCTGAAACCTTGTAGCAATGGAAAAAGTATAAATCATTGAAAAACTGCTCAGCCTAATTCAGCAAAATGTGACATTAACTAGTATTTGTTTGCCAGTAAAACTACGTCCACATTGGGATTTTTTTGAAGTACAACTGTGCCAAATATTGTGTGTCTGAGTCTCTGCCACAGTAGAAAAAAAAAAAAAGATTTTTGTATTTTCTCCTCTAATCGACCTCCTGGAGGAAGACAGAGATTCAGTGAGTATAAAATCCTCAAAGAATCAACTGCAGAAATAGGCAGTGGTGCTTTATGTAGAAAATAAACTATCACTATGGTATCACAAGTGGATCTGGATGAGCTTTGAAGCACCCCCTGCTTACCTCAGGCTGAGTAAACCACCAGGCAGTTGTCCAAGCATAGCAGGCTTGGTAACTCTGCGTAGAATTGAAAGGGGAGAAGTAAATGATGAAATTTTTACTCTGGAAAGTACGCTGTCTGTGCCAAAAGTTTCTTTCCTTCCCCATGTGGAAGTTGTATAGCAATGGAATTATGCTGTCAGTGTTTCAGCCTCTGAACTGTGGGATTACTCTAGCTATTGACTCTTCTTAGTTCAGGGCCGAACCACGCTGTGGGCATTGAAAGGAAATATTAATGGAGATTTGGCTCTCTGCTAACAGCACTGGCATGAAAACCTCTTGGGCACATGGCACTGTGATTTGTAGGTAAATGAGGAAAACCAGCTCAGATCCCATGAAGTGTGTGCAAAGAGAGAATAGCCACACACGGTTGGATATGATTAGCACTAATAATTCCAATGAAATAAACAGAAGAGTTTGAGCAATAATCCTCATAATCAAATTGTTGTTATATATGTGTAGTTTATTACACACAGTTATTGCAGATAAAACTGCTGAGTCCAGCTCTCTCTAGGATACAAATGTCATTACAGCATGGAAACAATACTGATTTGTGCAACTGGTCATACCTCCGTGACTGGCAGAACAAATAACGTTTTGTTTTGAATTAATGATGTATAGAGTTGTGGACTTCTAATGCATTTTTTCTAATATCATGCCATTTTTATTTAGATGAGCAACACTAGCAAGCTTCCCAAAGCAAAATTTCCATTTCCCCCATACAAGGACGTAAAAAGATGGGAATAATTGTGCATTTATGGTAAGTTCTTTCACTTCTGCCATATATCTTGAAAGGGTTGTTAGGCATTGGGATAGGCTGCCCAGGGAAGTGTTTGAGTCATCGTCCCTGGAGGTCTTTAAAGATGCTTAGATGTAGAGCTGAGTGATATGGTTTAGTGGAGGACTGGTTAGTGTTAGGTCAGAGGTTGGACTCGATGATCTTGGAGGTCTCTTCCAACCTAGATGATTCTGTGATTCTGTAATTATGAAAGATGTGGAATTGCTGTCTTTTTGCAACTTGCAAATCATCATAAATTATAAATCAGCAGATCCCTAACCTAAATTTTGCGGAATTTCTAAGATTTGGAAGAACCAATCCGCTTTTCTATCTGCACTTACCCAAAAGGATCCCAGGTTCCCAAGACAGAAACATTTGGCTTAGTGATCACCATTATTTAAGGTCATTATCTTCATCTTTGTTATTTTGCCACTATGTTACTGTTCTCTGGGCAAATCTTTGCGCTGGCTAAAGTCCTGTAGCACATCAAAATTACAGTCTTCCAAAATGCCAGTGAAAATGTGGGCCCTTGTCAAAGATTAATTAATTTTCAGCATTTTCTTGATCAGTTTCTATAAAGAGTGCAGCTCTTTGTAGGCTTGACCAGAATAAAATTTCTGTTAATATATGTGAAGCTATTTGAACATTATTCACATTTTTTGAGGTGTTTGTTTCTTCTCCACTGCAACATACATTTTTTCTCTAAGCTTTATGCCTGAGAGTGGATACTATTTTTAGATTACTTCTGGGTCTACTGCTTGAGTACCAGGTCTTAATCAACGGAAGAAGATAAACTTGATGCTAGACTAAACAAGATTTTGGTGACAGGCCAGTCAGATAATAAGCAATAATGTCAGCAGACAAAAGGAATTTTTTTTTTCATCCTCTGCTCTCCTGTCGAGTTTCAGCAGAATTTCAGTTTCTTTAATGAATATCATCGTGATGTTTGAGCTTTGAGCTTGGAAGTGTATCGGTGAAGGGTCTGCACTTTTCAAGCAAATCAGGGTGGCCAGGCTTTCCAACTATGTTCTTTTTGTTGCTTCCTTTAGGAAGGCTGTCCCATGTTTTTCCACTGGTTTTCATCTGGTTTGGTTCACCTGCAGAAAGGGAAGAAGCACCAGAGGTATGTGCTTGGTGGTGGTGGCGGCTGGGGGGAAAGGCAGAATCTGTCTCAGTCACAGTGCAGAGGCTTTTTCAACTCAACTTTTAGTTTGTTTTTTTTGTCAGAAGAGTTGCTATTCGTTCATTTGAGACAACAACATGCACAAACGCCTTTTTTCCTTGAAATTTAATGAATTTCATTTCCGCTGCCCCTTGCTTAAGTTTGGCAACTGTCTTCTTGCTGCTTTCTGAAGGTGGTGATTCTAAATCTTTTGTATTACGTGGAATTGTGCATGCGTAGGGCACAGGTTAAAGGATTGTGCAAGCATCTTAAAGCCTGATGGTTAGCTGTAAACATGTTCATGAAAATAGAATTATCAGGAAAACTTCTAGTAAGCTAAAATTCCCTAGCTTTTGCTGTTACAGTGCCAAGTGACTTTAGCCTAAGGCAATAAAAAATACTTGCAGCTTAATCATCTATGATCAAAACTGAGGCAATGGCATTTATTAGCAGTCTGACAAAATAATTCTCGTGTTGGCCTGGTGAAATTTTCTAATGTAAAACATACCAGAACATCTATTATTGACTTCTTAAACAATTGTTAATACTACGCCTCAAAGAAATGGCATCACACTAGTGTGTCTAGCACAGCGTTTTCCGGGACAGGTTCTCCCTCTGACAACTGGACAAGCAGCAAAACTTCTGATGGCTCTGTAGAGATTTTAGTAAAAATATTTAGGAAACTGCTACATGTCCTATAATGTCTTGAAAGTTGTTAGCATGCATTATTTTTCTTTTCAGCTTGTTTGTAATATATTTATATTGTATATTTATATTTATATTTATAAAGTATAAGTATATTTATATAAATATATTTATATTTCAGCTTGTTTGTATATATATATATATATATATTTTTTTTTTTTTTTTTTTACTTTAATCAGGGGAAGGTACAGCCTAGCTGTTCATTTTGACATATCTCTACTTATTTAGACAAAGATAGGGTAAGCATCAATATCAAAATCATATTAATTTCATTTTGCATTAATAAATTGATGGTTTTAAGATGATGATTGAACTTGTTCTAACAGCCTAGACACAATTATTTTCTTACACTAAATGAGAAAAGGATGTAAGGATATGTAGCTGAAAAATGTCTTTCTGTCTGTCCGCAGCTTATCTCCATTTTCAAGAGAAGGCAACTGTTTCTGGGACCAAACTGTCAGGCTACAGCATACGGATGTATCAAACAAAGCTTCACGTCATCTTTCAAATCCACCCTTTTATTCGAATATTCTTGAAAATTAACATTAAAAGTAGATAGTGCTTATACCATCATATCAAAATGTTTTTTTTTTCCAAGCTCTTTTCCAGAGTTTCCTAATTCTCCTGTCATATATAATTTACCGTGTCTTGGGATTTTCAGGATTCCTTGCCATGTGTTGCATTTCTCACCACAAGTTATTCAACTACGCTATTCAGAGAGCACAAACCATCCTGTATAGTGAATGAGGCAGGTTTCTTGGGGGAATTTGGCTTAGTAGTATTTTATCACGATGGATTAAGGGTGCGTGCGACCCTTGCTGTTACTAACGTCTGATTTCTTGACTTTGCAAGCTAATACTAGTTTTAATTTAGCTTTTTGTGGATAAAATCCTTGCCTAGTTACCTGTTTGTCTGAGAAACGTATATTCTCTTAGAATCTCCATGATTTCGCTGCTTGCTGGGCTATGTTGGATGTTGTATAAAGACATGATGTAGCTATTATTGGAATCTGGTAAAATATATGGTGTCAACCTAGACGTGAGTCAAGTGCTCATTGCTTGGCTGATTTATTTGATTTGATTTTTCTATTCCCTCCCATTTTTCCCCTGAGAATTATTTCAAGAAAGTACTGGGTGTGTGGGTTTATCACACAAGCCTGCTGACTAAGGTTAGGAAAGCTTGAAAAGCTGAGTTGAGCCTCTCCCTTGGGGATGTGTAAACGTTTTGCCTCACTCATTTTTGATATTGCTAGTCACAAGAATAACATCTTCAAAAGAGGAAGTTCACGGATGATGAACATCAGAATGTTTTGTCTGAAGAGGTAACCATAACATAGGATCTGATATTTCACAATAGACTAGAAAAGATTGAAGGGGGAAGCATAGATTGCTTGGAGCTTCAAGTGTCAAATTTTTGTATTTATGTAAAAAAAAAAAATTCAAAATTGTGGATTTTTCTGCTTAAATATATGTTCATTTCCTATATTTTTTATGTCTTATGTCAGATGTAATCATGATACTGTGTCTGCACTAGCAGACACAGTATCATTTTTTTTTTTTTGTCAAATTGAATCCATGGATATTGTACTGTTTGAGATTTTTTTAACCTCTGTTACCAAGTGTTTAAGATCGATAAAGTACTCCTATTCCCAATGTGGATTTATTCCTGGTTTAAAAGTGAGCCATGTACTTTAAGGAAAAACTAGCATTGTACTTAAGGACTAGCATTGAACGTGATTAGTTTACTTGAGGTTTGTTCAAAAGGTAATTTGGCTATTTACTTGTCATGTATGCCATTTTCCACTTGCAGTTTACTAATAAAGTTGTTTCTTGGTCTGCCAATAGGTAAATTTTGTGAAAATAAGCAGATACCAAGGTGAGAAAAGATTATAAATTAATGTCTTTGCAAAACTAAGCTAAAAACTATGTAAAAATATATTTATACATAGAAATGGTGATGTAATGACATAGAAAGTTTTTTTAACAAATCCGTTATTGTGAAATCTCAGAAGGGGTGTAGCTGGAAAGTCATGTTAATGACACTTAGTGAGAATTTGGAACTTTTCAGTTAAACATCAGTTTGATATACTTTTAATTCTCAGCCAAATTTATGATTCTATGAATGAGTAAAGTTGATTTGTTATAGTGGTATGCTTGATAGAGATAGTTGCCTCATTTTACTGGTAGTATGTCTTTCATTACTTTTCTTTTTTTTTTTTTTTTTTTAAGCTTTGTAAAACTCATCAGACTTGTATGTATGCTAAGTAGATTAATTTCCACTTGGACGCAAAGAATGCGAAGAGCATAATCTGTACTAGGTTGGACCAGGGGTCCCAACCAGTTTCTTGTCCCTGGTAGTGACTATGAGAAGCACACTTAATTCAGACTTGTGATATTTTTTTCTCAGAGGGACTTCCAGACGAAGATGTTGTTTTGTCAAGCGCCCTCATCAGTAATCTTTTTTCTTCCTTGAAAATATTCTTTTCTGAAGAAGAGAAGGTAGGATTTTGGAAAAAAGATGGTAAAAGTCAGTCCCTGTTGTCATTTTTCAATCCAACTGTTTGGAAAGAAATGTCAAGAATGCTTACAAGTAGGAGATTTTAGTTAGTCATTTAATCTCACGAATGAAGAAGCAGAGATATTTCAAAGTGATGATCTGTTCTTAAAAGCCAACATCTCTTCCAGTTGCTGATTCTTATTCTCATGCTTCTTCTGTTTTCCATGCTATATATATTGTTCCAGTTGTATTTAAAACACGTGCATTTCTTTTTTCCCATGTGTATCAGTTGTCCACTATGTTAATTCTTACGGGGAAAAATTGCGTCACTGTCTTTTGAATTCAAGTATTGCCTCTGACACTGAACCCTTGACCATTACCCAGTTTCTCTGTCCTTGCCTGTGCTTTCAAACTTGTTTGGTTTAGAGTCATCTGGGAAAGATACAACTGTTCAGAAAGAGGATTACAAATGCATCTCTTTGATTCTTTTCTCTTAATTATCTCTTCAGAGACCTGTTGTCTTTCACCATGTTTTTGAGGTTCCTTAACAGATTTAAGGAGGATTTGGTGAAGACTTTTCAAAATAAACATAAATTAACCACGTTGTTATCTACAAGTCAGCTTCTTCAAAACCTTCCAGAGATCATAGTAATGCCTTGTCTGCTTTCTTACACTTCCTCTTGATTTTTCTATTACAGAATCCAAGCTTTCAGGCCTGTAGTTCCCTGCAGCTTTCCTGAATGCACGTGTTTTTTGTTGGTTATATTTTTATTTATTTAACAGATGTCACATTTTTTATTCAGGTTATCAGATACCAAGCCAATTTTAGCTACAGACGATGATTAATAGTTTAGCCTTTTCATCCTTAAGTCATTTCAGAACTCTTGGGTGAAAATAGTTTGGTTTTGGTGATGTGTTACAGTTCATTTTGTCACTTTTTTTTTTTTTTTTTTTTTTAACGAGCATTTAGGAGAAGGACTCCTGTTGGAGAGGCCTCAGTGAAAACCAGTACCAAGAAGTCATTTAGCTTTGCTGCAGATGGATGTATCTTCTTTAAGTGTTCCTTTTTCTCATTTATCAGTTGGCCCTACATAATCTCTGGCAGGCTTCCTTCTCCTGATGGATTTGAAGAAAGATTTATTATGAGTTCTGCTTCCGTGTGTCAGCTGCGTTTCAAACTCTGTCCTACCGTGGTTTTGTTGTTGTTGTTTTTTACAGTTAAATCTGTTAGATTTTTGTATTATTTTTTTTAATACTGACATTGATCATTTGGGCACAATGTTAGTGTTATGTAACATTTTCCCTTATTTTCAATAATTTCACTTACTGTGTTGTTTGCGGATGAAGCTTTCTTTTGCCAGGCAGTATGTATGAACCCTGTGCTTTTCAGTATTGTATGCTTAAGTAATTTTCACTTTACATGCAGGTAAGTACTTTTCAGCCTTCAGCAAAGCTGTGGGAGTGTTTAATATAGTATGTTATGGTTGCTGTTACAAGGAACTGCTCACAAGTAAATTTTAAAATCTGAACCTCCATGCAACCCACATCCAAGAGTCCTCATTGCCTTCTCTTGTGGCTTCCCTAACAGTCGTTCCATGAAACAGTCATAGGTATGGTCTAAAAACATAGCTACTGTGTTACATACATTTAGGATATTGTCCAAACAGAAATAGCTGAAGCCTGATTACTGTTATATTTTCTTCTTAGACAAAGACTAGTTAGGTACTGGTATTTGTGCCAATGTTTTTCCCTTGATATTGTGCTTTCTGTAAGTCAAGTAGATGATAAAATGGCTTTCAATTTCCTGTTCTCCATTGCTTTGAGGATACAGAACTTCTGCATCTTCATCTATAATAGCATTGACGCTTTGTGCCATCTTCTGCACCTGCTGGATTTCTTTCATTCTTTGGTGTATAATCTTGTTTGTGACCTTTTTGATTTGAATATGCCACCAGCCCGATTCTTTTAAGGTTCAGGTGAAACCTGCCTCTTATACAAGATTGTTTCATTCCAGAACTGTTCTCAGATTATGTTCCTGGTATTATTATCTCAGACAGATGCTAAAACTCTTCATTTATCTTCATTTTACCAGTCTTGGAAGATCTCTCAAATCACACTGCTGTACATCTGTGTTTTCATATTATGGTGGAGGAGTTAGTTGACATGACACTGAGGAGCTTGCTAAGCTGGGACAGTTCTTTGTGCAATATTAGCAGAGCAGGACTAGTGCAATTTAATATCAGCCTTTGGTACTATTTAGTTGTAGGTAGGGATTTGCTTATACCAACAAAAATGACCAACCATAACTGGTCATATTCACATATTTAATTTACACCAGCTGTGTAGCAGAACATAACTAAAAGCCTCAAATATTGAAGAATTTCCACAAGAACACTTTCTTCTACTTGCTTTTGGCTTGATACATTCATTATAAATTAAAATCTCAGGTGTTAATGCTTATGATGTGGTTTGTTTGTCACTGAGAATGAAAGTAATTCTGAAAATGTCATGTGTAGTGGAATTAGAGTACATACATCAATCAATACGTATTAAGTAGGTCTTTGAAACAGATTATCTGGCATAATTCATTGTTGACAATTATGAAGCTTGTTTTAACCAAAAAGGCAGTGGAATCTCATGTCCTTTACGGGTTATCAATTGTTTTTGCTGCTAATATAAAACAAATAATCTGAGATCTTGAGAAACTGAAGTTTTGAGTTTTGGTCATAAGTGTTGCTTCTTTTAGTAGCATGTTGCTAGATAAGGAATAATGAGGTTGTGATAGACTTAGTATTTCTGGAATAGTTTAACACAGAAACAGAAGGCTTTATTCTGGTTTCAGGACTTTAGAATTCTTCAGAGACCTTCAACTCCCAATCTGAATTTGCTGAGGTGTTTGCTGTTCATATCTTTTTCTTTCTTAGAACAGCTGCTAGTCTTTCTGTGCAGTTCAAAGTTTCTGACTACAAAAGGAGGTGTTGATATTGGAATAGTTGAGTTATTTGGCCTTATAAACTTATGGATTGTTGAGTCTCTCTATAACTACCAAGATAGCTACTTCTTTTACA